GCTGTTTCTGTAATTTAGCTGTTACGAATTGCACTGTATAAACGTGTGTGCACGTACCACTGTCATATGATGACTTCAACTCTTTTGTGAAGATACCTAGGAGAGGCATAGCTGGGTCAAATGGAATTTCTATTTTTAGTTTTGGACACAAAAGTACACATAGAGGGAAGATAATGTGAAAAGACATAAGAAAAGAGGGCCATCTTTACAGCATTTCCTTCCTCCTGAGGATACAGTGCTCACCAGACTATTGGCCTCCAGAATTTTGAGAAATATACTTCTGTTCTTTATAAATTACCCTATCTGTGGTTCTATTATAGCAGCACAAAGCAGAATAAGACAGGGACCTTGCTACTTGGGTCCTGTCAGCTTAGTTTCTTCTCAGTACCTGTAAGCTCCCATCAGTCTGGGCACATAGCAGGTTCTTAGTGTTTGTTTCCCTCCTTTCCAGTGAAACAGAAGTGATTTTCTGAGATGCTACACTTCAAGTACAGTCTGAGAGAAAAATACCACCAAATTCTTTTTCATCTTCTCAGGATAATCTTTTTAAAAACAGAAAATGGGAGCAAAGAGAGAGTTGTTCCATTTTCAAAACAATCCTAGAAATCTTAATAGGGACCTATTGGACATCAGGAAGTATGCAAGATAGTGTGGAAATGTAATGAAAAAATTAAGCATGGCTCTTTCTATCCAGCCTCTGATAATCCACTTGGAGAGGAAAGCTATGATCACGTAAAAAGTTAACAATAAAGGATTTATGTAACAGCCTAAGACCAACAATAGAATTGCTGTTAGGGGGCATATCAGGAGTATATGACTTATTGCCTAATATATCCGGGGACAGCTGGAACTGGACAGAAGAAGGGCAGGCACTTCAGGCTGGGTGGTGGGAAGGAAGGTGACAGGAGCTGGTGTGAGCACAAGTGCTGAGTCCAAGCTGAATACACTGTGGAAACAGCACATTCATTTGGCAGGAGCAAGGAGAGTTTTGGGTACGCGGGACATGGGGAAAGGTAGAACTCCATACGGAGGGCCTCAGACCTCATCCTGCAGGAAAGGGGCAGTAAGGAAGCTTTTTCAGCAAAGGGAAGGTGTGAACTGAAAAGGGTGTGAACTGGGGCTCCTCCTAGTCTAGCAGATAGGAGGTTTGTCCTGTTCCTAGGTGTCACAGAGCCTTGTGGATTTCTTGTCCAGCATCTTTTTGTGCCAATGCTTGAGAAAAAGTCATTCAGCTCAAAAGCTTGGCTATGGTTTTAACAAGTAGTTTGCTTGTTTTCACTATCACACGTATTCAACATAGAACTTCCTGAATTGACCAAGCAGCTTCAGAGAGCTGCCTTCCAGCCTCCAAGACATTGATTCAATGACTCAGCACAGAGGAGTTCGCAATAGACTCACAGAACCAGAACAGCTTGCTTTTCCTAAGGAGATCTAGGTGCCCTAAGAAAAATCTCCACCAGGGTCCCTGCCCTGCTGAATTGCAATTTCTTCCCTGTTCTGTAGCATACTTGAATGTGTGTTCTGGAACCAGCACTGGGGAATCCAAAGAGGGCTTAGGAATCAAGTTAGATTTCAGTGAAAACTCTGGCTCTGCCTCTAACCAGTTGTGTGACTTTCAGTGTTACCTAACCTCTGCCAATTAAAGTTTCTTCATCTGCGAAACAGACAATCACTACTTTGTTGGGTGGTTATGTGTTTTTGTTTTGTTTTGTTTTTCTTTGGACTAGAGGTTCAACCACCTTGTGCCTGCTAGCCAAGTGCTCTACCTGAGCTATATCTCTACTGAGCTATATCCCCAGCTGGGTTACAAGTATTAAATGAGACAAGTGTTAAATGGCACATAGAAGGTAGGTATTAGAAAATGTATAATACACAAAGAATTCTTTGTGTCTCCTAGCTCTACCCTAAGGAAAAAAAATTAATCAGATTTCTTCACTTTCCAGTGACACCTCTCCTTCAGCCCCACCTGGCATCTGAGTCCTGCAGGTGGATATGCCCCCACATGTAGTGCACTTGGCTGAGAAGGGCTCAGGAGAAAATTCTACTGCCTGAAAAATGGGCCAAACCAAAGGGCCATCCTCACTTTGCCAGGCCTATTCCACAGGAACAAATTGAAGGCAAGGATGAAAAATGTAGGTAGATAGCAAGAAAACATCAAGAGGACTTGTGAATGTAAGTCTATTTCCAAACACCTGGAAAATACATTTTATCTACTTGTTTTTATTTTATTTTATTTATTTATTTTTTTGGTATTGGGGATCGAACAAACTCAGGACCTTGCACTTGTGAGGCAGGCAGCAGCACCACTGAGCTAAATCCCAGGCCCTACTTATTTTTATGTAACATTATAATGCTTGCTACATGTAAGGGACAACCCAAGACAGTTTAAATATTAACTCATTTAGCTTTTATGAGAACCTGATGAAGATAGGTTTACAGCTTGTGAAACTGAGTCATAAAGAGATTATACAACTTGTTGAAAACCACACAGACATATGGGTGACTTTAAGCCCAGGCACTGCAGTGAGAACAGAAAATTATTGCCCCAAAATTAGTGGAGAAGAGAGCCCATCTAAAATGCCTTTTCTTGATGAAGGATTCAGATATCACAGGGGATTTAAACTGGGGTGAATCTGCAACATTGCTGTCCCCCATGTGAGCAGATGAGATGCGTAGGCCCTGCTAGACCATCCTTCTTTCCTTGATTTATTTCTTTTGATAGACATTTACAGAGGTACAGTCATGTGCCAAACATAGTGCTGGATGTGAGGGACATCAAGATTATTATAACACAGTTCGGGATGGATGAGCTTAGTTCAGTAGGGAAAGGAGAAATGAACTCACAGTCATACACACACACACACACACACACACACACACACACACACATCAAAGAAGGGACTCAGCAAAGGTATCTCTGCCTTTCTTCACAGAAGAGAGCTTTATCCTCTTTCAACTCAAAATAGAAACCAACACATTTATTTACACAGAAGCAATTGCCAAGAAATGTGTACTCACCACACATGACCCCATCCTATACCACACCTCCCTCTTGTTTCTCCCTGTTCTTTAGACTTCTCTTTCTTCCTTTTTCTTTTTTCCCCCCCATCCATTTGCTTTTCTCTTAATCATCTACTGATCTCTCCAGGGCCTCTCCCAAGCACTTGTTCTCGGAGGCCCCATGTCCTGGGAAAGAAACCATGACCCAGAAGAGGAACAGCAGCCAGAGGGGGTGGAGGAACAACTTTGGGAATCTGACAGAAGGGGCTCAGGAAGGTGAGAGTGACCAAGATGGACAGATGTCTTTCTGCTAATACTGCTTGCAACTCAAGAACAAGCCAGTGATTTCAAAGGCATGTTTAAGACCTTCATCAACAGAACTATCTTGTCTCTTTTCTATTAACTCCATTACCCTATCCCACCTTTCCCCCAAGAGACTTAAAACTCTTCTGAATTCAGTTACTTCTAGGTCTGGCAGTGATGTTTCATGTTTTTTACTCCTTCGAAGACAGAGAAACAAGAGGGCCCCATCTCCGATTTGATGCTCTGCTCTCGCCCCTGGGCAGGGTCTTTGTCTTATTTCTTTGCCAGCCTCAGTTCCAGAGACATGAGGATGGGTAGTTAGAGGAGGGACAGACCTGGAATCTTCAGAGGAGACACCTCTAAATATAATGCCCAGGGCTGGGGATTTAGCTGAGCGGCATGGCGCCTGCCTCGCAAGTGCAAGGTCCTGAGTTCGATCCCCAGTATCGGGAAAAAATAAGTAACTATAATGCTCAGAAAAGTATCCATTAGTATGTGCATTGACTTTTCTCTTGATCATTGTCAAAGTGATATGGCACTGTAAAAAGCATGCCTTCTACATGTGGTGCTTTTTCCCTCCCCTGTAAACTCCAGTAAGGTCAAGGTGATCCTTTAAGGAAACAAGTTTTGGGACAGGCCACAAAACAGAGACAGACTTTATTATCAGGATGGACACTTCCAACTCTAAGATTTTCAATCATCACAGAACATATTCGGGGGTCAGGATCGGGCCTGGCTGCATGCCCTGCTTGGGACCCACAGAGACAGAGCTGGGATGACGGCAGCAGAGGCGTTGTTTACTTCTCCAGGATTCCTTTGCATAATTTATGGCCCCTTCTTCAAGAGCATGCCAAAAATCATGGCACACTCATCCCTTTGAGAACTGAAAGCTTTAGGAAAGGAGTTGGCAAGAAGAGGTCGTGGTGCATACAGTCAACAGCAGATTGAGAGACAGGCAGTCATAGTTCCTGGCACATAGTTTGTGAACCAAATGATATGTCAGGAGTATTTAGGAGAGACTCTCCACCTTTCCCACCAGGTCTAGCACAGCTTACAAAGTCTTATTAGGTGGAGTGGATAGTAGAAGCCTCTATATAGCCGAGTCTAGAACATGATTACAAAACACCTTCCTAATTTAACCAGGGGATTGATTTTAGCTGGGGATGCTCAGGAAAGGCCAAAAAGAAAATGTGTGCTCCACCTGAGTCCTGAAGGACAAATAACTCACCAGGTACATGGAATGAGGGATGAAATTCTAGATGGAAGAAGGATGGGGGCCGTGGAAAGGCTGGGACTAAAGGTCTAGTAGCAGATGGAGGGAGAGGCCTAGAAGAATGGCCAGGGTGAGAGCTTGCAGGTGCCATACTGACAAGCAGTAGGTGCTACTGGTGGCACCTGGAAGGAAGAGGGGAGCTGGAGGAGGTGAAGCCCAGCCACCGGCCCCTCAGTGGTTGGGAGGTATCTAGGGTCTCCAATGTTGCTTCTTTCCACTAGTGAAAGTGTTTCTGGCAGAGGTCGCTGTACCCAGAGACTACAGAAAAACCTGCTACAAATGGAAGTTTGGCAGCAGATGTGCTAGGAACCCAGGGGAACACCAAGACGACTCTGATGTCCTCTGTTTCTGCTTCTTTGGGTGCTCAGTCTTCCTAATGTCCCTCCTCCCCAGCCCAAGACTACAATTTCAGAAGACACTTGCCTTAGCAGTCAAATCTCTTTTATTAAGGTACTGCTTGGACAGCATACAAACAACACATGCAGAGACTATAAACCCACACATGGAAAAAATTATGAAATCTGTATTTGAAAGTAGACAGTAAACCACCTCCTGGTTTAGCATCTGGAGGATCACAGGGTGTCAGCAGACTTGAAAGTGTGATAAATCTGAAAAACTTAGTGCCAAATATCCCCCTCCCAGGCCCTAACTCCTTCACAAAAACCACAGATGCACACACAGAAGGGGTGGGGAGACCCTGTAAATGACAACCAGTTCAGAAATAAGGGAGGTGAGCCCAGCTTGCTCTCCCTGTGGCTTTGGTCAGAGGCGAGTGCCTGCCACTCATCCTTACCAACTTCCCCACTCCTTGAAGGTTCAGGGAGGAAGTGGAGGCCAGGAGCCCAGTTTTGTCAACCCAGGCTGCAGGGTGAGCACCTCACAGCTGTCTCACACCACCTTTGCTATATGATCTGCCTGCTCAGCCGCCTCACCTGCCACCCTGGAAGAGTGAAGAGATACACCCCTAGGAAGTCCACCAGCCAAGAGGACTGGGAGCCATGTGCAAACTCTCCATCAGCCACTCTCTGGCAGTGTGATACTTGGGAAGTGACCTTAGTCTCTAAGCCTCAGATTCCCATCTATAAAAATGAATGTCTACTTCACAGGGTTATCCCAAGAATTACTGACTTTTGATCTTGCCAAGTGCAGAGCCAACTCAAGTGAAATGTTCACAACCTGTTTGCTTTCTTGTGTTATCACTCCTTTTTCCCATTTCCCCAGTTTGTCTCCAGGTTTGTGTGTGTCTTTGGTGGTCATGTGACCCCAGTGGCACTGAAAGCACCTCGGGACCAGCAGCTCCTTCCTACCCCAACCCTTACTTCCTCCCAGCACAACACCATGCCACTGGGAGACCTATGGGGATGAGCCACATGGCCAGGAGACAGTTTGAGTGAGCACAGCAGAGACCTGCACAGCGGTAGGTACAGAGGATCTGATCGTCTCAGAGACAGTGATGAGATGGCATGAGGGTGGACACAGGAAGGCTAGTGAGGCAGGCAGGGTGAGGGGGGCTGGCAGAAGCTGGAGCACAGGCATGACACTGTTTATAATTTCAGTAGAAAAAAGACAACCCCTTCTAGAAATGAAAGGACCAGGGATGTTCTTGGTAAGTCTGCCCACCAGAAGGCGAGCTTCATGGATCATAGCCCACAATTTAGGTTCTGCAGAAATCTCCTGTCCATCCTCCATCTTTCTGTCCATCCGGCCATCCACCGGTATACATTAAAAGTCTTGGAGGATGCAGCCTGACCTAGAAAGAAAACTGTGTGCTCATTTAGCACCTTTTATTAGAGGAGTTGGTATTTTTTATAGTCACTCAACTGGAGTCATTGACAGTAATGCTATGAGATAGGAGGAAGACAGACAATACCCCTCTTTTTACAACTCAGGAAGTGCTCAGAGTTTCACAGTGAGTGAAATGTGGTCAGGGCTGGTCAAGTGCAGGGCCCTGAGTGTTCCCCAGTGACCAGACCCTTGCTCTCCTTCTGAAGGCCTTGCTTCAGCTCAACCTGGACTGATGTCTTCAGCCAGACTGACCCTGCTGCTTTTCATACCAGCGTGGGTTTCAAGTCATCTTTGAAGTTCACAATGGGCTTGGAGTGGGCCCACAGCTTTTCCCATGAGGCCAGTCCTGCAGCAGGTTCAGGGTCAGTGTCTGACGTGCCACTGTCACTGGAGTCAGAGGAGCTCTGGAAGCAGATTTCACAGTAGGGCCTGTGGCAGTGGCAGAAGAACTCGTCTGAGCTGCTGGACTCAGTGTCGAGGTAGTTACACTGAGAAGACAGGGAGGGAGAGCCAGGGGCTCCTGGGAGCTGAAGCTGCTGCTGCTTGGGCAGGACTGGTGAGGTGGACAGGTATGGGCTCATGGGCCCCTGTGCCCAGGCAGAGGCTGAAGGCTGGGGAGGAAAGGCTGCACTGCTTGCCCTGGCCCCCTGAGGCTCTGCCTGGCCTTGTTTGCTGCCCAACCTCTCTTGAGGATCTGGGAGAAGTGAAGCCTTCCTGGAAGAGGGCCTTTGTACCTTACAATCAGTGGTTTGGTGATCCAGTCCGGGACTGTCCCCACTCTGTATATTCAGCCCACTGTGTGTCCCAGAAAGAGTCTGATCTGTCTGATGCCCCACATAGGAGGGCACAGAACCAGGTAAGTGAGAGCGAGCCCGCTGAGCTGTCCGCCTCCTCCTCACTATGTAAGGGCTGAAGCCCAGCTCCCTGGAGACTGGCATCTTCTGTGGGCTGTGGGCAGCACTGCCCTTCCAGGGCTGCTGGGGACAAGACAGGGAGTTGGGGAAGGGAGCCCCGCGGTTCAGGCCCAGCTCTTGTATGACTTCCTGAAGTTTTTCCCTGACCACCCAACTGACCCTAGGGAGCCTCTCTAGGGGCTCCTCTGAGCTCTGCCTCTGTCTCTGGGGATCTGAGGCCCCTCTGCCTGGGACGAGACTCTGGCTGGGGGCCATGGGCCCATGGTCTCCTCTTTGTGAACCCTGGCTCTGCTCAGCCTGTGGCTTCTGGCTATTATTCAGGTCTAGGTGATCAGAGAAGTCTTTCAAGTTAGGTGTCTTCTTCAGGCCTAGGGAGGGGCTGGCGTTCCTCCCAGGGGCCCGGGGGCTTTGCGTGCCTGCGGAGGGCCCTGAGGTGCAATGGGAGTCCTGGGCAGCTGTGTCAGGGTCTTTCTGTGGAACAGAGGGGCATTCTGAGGGTCCCTGTGCCAGGCCAGGGACAGAGGCTGCAGCTGGGATGCCCTCGCCCTGGGAGGAGGTGGGAGGGACAGCCCACTCTGGGGGATAACAGGCACACTCAGCAGACATCAGCTTCACTAGCTTCTCTTTGGCATTGTTTACCTGCTCCTGCAGGCTTTCAATCACTGCATTTTTCTGTAAAATAAAAGCAAATCTGTCAATAAAAGATGCTAAGAGTTCCATACTGCCTCCCATGGTGGTGAAGTGTGGCACTGCAAGATGTTGGTTTAAATCCCATTTCTTCCCAATGCGTGCTGGTGACCTCCAGCCCCGAGGGAGCAGGTGAAAAGAGTAGAGATACACAAAGCACTTAGCACAAGTGACATGTGGTGCCTAATATGGTTGCTATAGTCTCCATTTCCCCCTTCCATCTCTCTGTGAGAGGAGGCCCCTGCCTAGCTGCTTCTGGGGGCTGCAGCATCCTGTCACCTCCCCTAGATCTCACAGGGTTGGGTCACTCTGCAAGACACCAGCATGGACAGCGTTTGGTATAGTCTAACTCCAGGGTGTTCACACTTTTGCGAACTACAGAAGAATCTGAAGCACATCTCCAGGGGATGAACAAGTGGGGAAACAAATATTTTTCCTCTTGCTAAATAGTCCAGAAAATGGCAAAACAGGGAGAAGGGTGGAGATTCCTGAGCCAAACAAATCAGACTGGAGCCAGAAGGGGCCAATGAGAATCTTGGGTTGTGTCATCGCCTCCCTCAGCTGGGCCTCTGGAGGTGAGATGCCAAAGCTACCATCTGGCAATGTCAGCTGTGAATATCTCCTGGCGAAGTATATGCACCAGAATTACTGTAGAAACTTAAGACAAACAAACAAAAATATTGGGCCAATCGCTGTAGAATGGAGTCCAGAAGTTGAATGAAGATGGGGCAGCTCTGCCGCTGAGCTGCCCACCTGCTGCATGGGTGTTAGTGAATAAACAGGCTGTGCCCAGGACAGCTGGCAGGTGACAGCTGCAGAGGTGTGTCCATCCTAACTACAAGACTGTGGGGGCAGGCAGTGGGAGCAAAAGTATCGGCAGTGGGCATGCAAGGTATGACTGTACCCGGGATGTCTTTTGTTTTGTGGCAGTGGATTGTATACCTCAGAATGTATGTCCCTCTTTGGAAAGTCCCGAAGCTCAAAGGCAGGGGAGCAAACCTGAGGTCTTCCTGGGGAACAGACGGTCTTGGGGCAGATGGCACAGGGTCAAGACTTTGGAGAAGGCTTGTGTTCTAGGAAGGGCTTGTCTGATACCCAAATGTTGCCTTTTTGTTGGGAAAGAGGCTGAGGATGAGCATTTGAATGGCCATCTACCGTGCCCTAGAAACAAAAGGATGTTCCTTTGTTTAGGATAACTAATACAAGTTGCCCAAGCTGTGGTTACTTCTCAAATTTACATGGAAGAGTTGCCCAGAAATGATCCTTTAAGGGGGCAGTAACTGAAGGGAAACAGTAATAATGAGGCAGCGACAGCAGGCAGATCCACTGCTCCCATGGGTAAGCAGAAGAGATGTTTCTGCTAGGTTACATCCTCCCCATTTCACTCTGGTCTAGTCTACTTCCTGACCACCAGGAGAAAGGCCAGGAGCAGTGAGGGACTGGTGGCTCAAGTGGAAGGGACTTTCAGCTAAGCACCTGCCTGCCCTGTCTTCCTCTCCCTGCCGGCAGATCAGTAAGGTCTGGGCATTTCCTGAAGAGTATGGTTGATCAAAGGCCCACCAGGAGCAGAAGGGATGAGTAACAGGGAAACACTGGGCTCTGCCTGGTGTCTGGGATCTGCTGTGTGCTGCTGGTGTCTGGGATGTCTCCCTCTCCCTCTGAGCATCTCACAGGGTGACTGTGATGGCTGCACAGGGAACCCCATGCTCTTCCCTCCTCCACTAGTCCCTGCTCCTGAAGCCTACTGTGCTTCAGAGGCCACTACTGCCTCACTGAATCAGGAAAAGGCCATTAGCTGATGACAACTCTCCCTGCGGTGAAATCTGGGTGATGCCTTTTGGCGCCTTATCCACAAATTCCTTTGAGTATTGGAAAACAGTAGAAGCCTTTTGCTGGGAAGAATACTCTTCTTCTGGCAAACCAAACATCTAAAGCTGCCCAGGGCCAGATTTAGAAAGATTAACATAAACAGTAAATTTCCTTTTTCCCATAAAGGAAATGGGACTCTGTGTTCACCATGGCTGATACTAATTAGAGGTGTAGTGTGAGGCATCACCACCATGAGACCCAAACTGACCTGGCAGCTGGTTGGCAATGAGCTTATTAATGGTCACTCTCGGCACATGGAGAAGTTAAGGGCCACAGGTCCACCACAGGGTGCAGGGCCTAAGCAGAAGTAGACCTAGCTTCTCTGTTCTTTGGTGCCAAGAAGACAAGTTGCAGGCCAGCTTCCTGTGCTGCAGAGTATGGAAGCTTCTGGTTGCTACCAGCACACAGACAGGGAGGCCAGTAACAGCTTCTGGGGGACCCCTGGCTAAGAGGGCAAGAGGGGCAAAAGCGAGAAGATATCCTGGCCAAGTAATAGGAAAAAGGAAAGTGCTAGGTACCAGAGGGGGCTGCAGAGGAGGAAAAGGTAAACCAGGAGGCTGGAGTCAGCACTCATGCACATACCAGGGCAGAAGAGGTTTGTGTTTATCTGAGAGGCAGGCAGGGGCTGATGCCAGGTCATGGACACTGGACTCTCCCTCACCCCCTCGGGGCCCCAGGATGGGCTGTTCTCGGGTCTGGTCTGAGAAAAGTGTTCTAGGTGTAGCAGGTGCTGGGGAGGCAGCCTCTTACCACCTCTGCCTCTGTATGCCTTAAGGCTCTTCTCTCAGACTTGAGGAATCTGTTTGGATAGAGCAGATTCAGCTACTGCATGGGAACAGAGCAGTGTGGCAGAAGTACAAAATGTACGTCACACGTTACCATAAGGCTAAGGACTCAGTCCACTTGGCTGTTCCAGGGTAAGCTGACTGTAACTGAAAACCATCCTGGCTGTTCCAGCAAAGTCTCTGGCCTTCTGTGTAGCTGAGGGTGGGGGGAATACAGAGTGTTGAGGGCAAGGCTACTCCCTTGCCAGGTGGGAAGAAGTCTGGATTTGAAATGATGCCCTGAATGTTCAGTTGACAGTAAAGAAACAGAGATGAAGCACTTGGATGGACAAAAACAGTCCAGAGCCCAAGGTATGGGTAGAGACCAGAGGGCAGGGTCCATGGGTGCCTGGCAGGCTTAGCCTCATCAATGGTGGACCATAGGTGTCCCCCACATCTCGTCTCATGTGGACTGATCACACCCAAGGGCCAGTCCTGCTACCACAACATTCAGTTTTCCAAATAGCACCTATGATGATCTGTACTGAACAAAATACGGAACAAGCTATAATAGTATCAAAATACTGACTAATACCCTGGGCCCTGTGCCTTCCTCCTGAAGAATGTGGCCCTCATGCTTGTCCACGTGCTGCCTCAAGCCCACACTACACTTGTCTGGGACAGCGGCCAACTCTGCCTCAAGTACAGAAGAAGGAAGGGCTGGGCTGCTTGGGCCCCCGGGCATGCTAACATTCAGTTCCCTTCCCCACCTGCAGACCGTCTGGACTTTTTGGGTTGATGGATGATTGAGATCTCCTGTCAGTACCTGAAGAAGACAGTAGGGCCCCATAGGATCTTGAACTTGAGAGCACTGCTCTCTGTAAAGAATGAATGTGTCACACAGATGCTGGCTTCCATTACAACTCAGGGCCTTTCCATGCTGTTCTCTCTGGTAGGAATGCTTTTCCCTGTACCCTCTGCCTGGCCAATTTGTACTTACCCTTTAGCTTTTGTCCAACTATCTTCTCTGACTGCTATAGGTTGGTTTCCTGGTCCCTTCACACCTGTTATTCTGACTTTTCTCCTTCATTTTTTTCCTTGATAAGCCTTGCCACATTAATGATTGTTTCCTTGATAAATATCCATTTCTGCTGCTGGAACTGGGAGCTCATCTGTTCACTGACTGCGTGAGGTGGATGAGGGTCAGTGGGGAGTGTGGACTTGCTTGCTCTTCGGGCAAGTGGGAGAATGTGGAAGAGTGGGAAAGGGGAATGCTGGCAATGACAGTGTTGAGGGTGACCATGTGGGACTGCAGCACTTTCCAAGGACCCCCCCCAGGCAGGGTGTGGCTCACCTCTGTGAGCAGCCTCTCCATTGAGCTCTTCTCGCCCTGTGCATGGCAGCTCTGCTCCTCACCAAACTGTGGATGGAAGCTTTTGCTGGGAGTGTTGAAATATTTGGCCATGTGTCTGATTGTTTGGTTTTCTCCTTCAAATGTCTTCCATTGCTTCAGCTGTTAGAAAAAAAGAACACATGTTATTTATTTCATTACACACCCAGAAATACATTCCCTCTCTTTCTCATGAACACCCGGGAATGGCACCATCACAGACACACATGGGCACAGCCAGTCTCTCTTTCAAATGCATTTTGCTCTGGGGTCTCAGAGACAGTAATGACAGAAAGCACACAGAATGTTAAGGTTATGTAGTTTTAAAAATTGCCAGGGAAGAAGTGATAGGTAGATGGTATGGCCCTCTCTGCCACTACTAAACTGCTAAAAGAACCAGAATTGAGTATAATTCTAGAGCTGGAGTTTTGGAGCATTTGAAACACCGTATGTTTCCAATGAAACCCTTTCTAGTTGGATGTAGCTATTCTCACTGATTTTGCATGTGCTGAGTCAAGATGTGTCTCCTGCTATTGAAGACCCAGTTCCTTCTTGGTGGCTTCTAACCCAAATCCTCACTCAAAGCTTGGACAGACAAAAGACCACATAGTGTTTTTCTTTGACAAATGAGGAAAGACTCAGGTAGAAGGAGGGTGACTCGTCTAAGTCTACCCAGAGAGCCAGCGGGAGATGCACAGCTGTAACCAGGGGGCTGTGACACAATGTCCTTACACAACTGCTGGAGACACAGCCTGTGAGCAGTGGGACTCCTGGGAGAAGTTCCCCAGCAGAACCTGGCATCAAGACAATCTGTGGAGGTACAGGCTGGCTCCCTTTAACTGGGATAGAGCTGGCACAAGCAGGTCTGCTCTGGGCCTCTGTGATGGGCTGTCCACTTGGTGCACATCTGTGATGTGGGTGGGTGACAGGGACTAAAGTGGTGGTGGCTTCTCTTTCCCTGAGAAATCCAGTGAGGGATTCTGGGGACTCTGGCAGGTTAGGGAAATAATGCTGAGGCATCTGTGGCCAGCATCAGAGGAAACATAGGACCTTCTTGCTCAAACATTCATGAAACTCTGACAATGCAGCAGAGCCAAACTTCATGAATCTCATGCAGGACTCCAGATCCCATCTCAGATTCAGGCCCAGACTCTCACTAGAGTCGCCTGGGGTCCTCTGTTGGCTCAGCACACATCTTCATGGCATCAGGAGTCTGTGTGGTCTGTGCTAGGCCAGGCTGGGGCTTTCCACTCTCTGACACTTCCTCAAGACCCTCTCCCCAAAGGGATGTGGCCTGCCCCTCACAGGACTTGAGCCACTGGGGCTGACACCACAGGGTCACTCTGCCCTCGTGTGGGGGGAGCAGCCCTCCCAGGGTTATTCTACATGCAGCCCAGGTGACATCACAGGGCTCCCGCTCCCCCCCAGAGTCCCCCTTTCCCTAGTGGCACAGTTCTTCCTTCCTGTCCCCACACTGGCCAGCCCAAGCCCTCTCTGCAGGATGTTGGAGGGACAGCTTGACATGGCTGAGGGCATCTCTGGGGGCTTCTGGCGTCTTCCTCCGCTCCCCTCACTGTTTCTTAATTCCTCATTTGTGCAGACCTGACCCATCAGGGTTTCTGACGTAGCTGTAAGTGATTCTCAGGTCACAAAGCACTTCTTCTTCCAGAAGGACAGACACATGAGTGTCTTCTCAGCCTCTGGGTGTTGTGGGTCTGGCCCCTCAAACAGGCTCATTCACTTGTGAAACCCTGGAGCCTGTGAACATGGCAGAAAGAATCTTGAACATGTGACTGAGGATTGGGAAGGGGAGATGATTCTGGGTCATGCAGATGAGCCTAGCATCATCATAAGAGTCCTGATAAGAGGGAGGCAGTGTTCAGAAGAGATGTGATGATGGAAGAGAGCGAGAAAGAGAGATTGATGGAGATTTGTAGACTCCATGCTGCTGGCTCAGAAGGGGAGGAAGGGTCAGTGGACCAAGGAATGCAGGTGGTCTCTAGTGCCTGGGAAATCCAAAGAAATACATTCCCCCTAGAGCCTCCAGTGCAAACACAGACCTACTGACATTTGATTTTAGCCAAGTAAGATTTATGTGGATCTCTGGCTCTTAACACTGTAAAAATGGTGTAGTTAAAAGCCACTAAGCTTGTGATCATTTGTTACAGTAACAGGAAGCTTCTACAGCAGGGTGAATGTCAAGTCTTTAACAAGGTCACACCTGGGCATGCTTGGGTTTGTCACCTCCTCCCTCTCTGCTGGTTTCTATTTGTGCTTCAAATCAGCAAAGACTTATGTTCCCAACATACACAGCATGCTCTCTCACCTCTCCCTAGGCCATGGCACAGTACCATCTGAAATGCCACCCACTGTCCTTGTCTGCTCAGTGAACTCTTACTATTCCTTCCAGACTGACCTCAGATGCCCCATTTGCTGGGAAGGTACTGCTCTTTCCTAGGGAGGTTGGGGCCAGGTGATACCCCCATCAAAGCACCTGGCACAGGGTTTAATGCCTTTCCTGTCTGCTCCCCCAGACTGTAGGTGGGGCCACGTCTTTCACTGCCTGTGCCCAGCCACTCAGAGATGGGCAGAGGCAAATGTGAGTCTGTGAAGGAAGCTTTCCTTTAAAAAGCTCTGCAGTCTCTTAGGACTGCCGGGACACAGACAAACATCTAGAAAGAAGAATAGAAAGTCCCAAGGGTCCTCCTCATGGAGGAACAGAAGAGACTCTCTGGGGTACCAAAGAGGAAACCATGTCCTACCTCAGGACCTGGCTGCCTCTCAGAGGGAGAGGTGGAGTTGCGTGGGCCACACTGAAGTCACAAAGGCAGAGGCAGAGGCGGGCTGATTGCTGGTGATGACCTCAGCACTTGGCATAAACACTTAGGCATTTCCTGAGTAAGGCCTGGAAGGGTCCTTGGTCCTCTGCCTCATGGTCTTCATTTTGTCCAGCTCTCTGGCGCCCCCTAGAGTCTCTTTGGGGTATCTGGGCCTTTGCTTTCACCAAGCCCAATCAACTGAGTCTGAAAGTTCAGGGGCCAAGGAACCCATCTTGCTGCAAATCACAACTCAAAATAAGAAAAAATAAGAAGGGCTTGGGATGTACTTCAATGCAAAGGCATTCAATCCCCAGTACCACCACCAGCAAGAAAAAAATGTACTTCCTAGATCTAAAATACAGTAGATTATGCTTTTTCATTCTATATCATGAGAAAAAGCATGAGAGAGAAGATATAAGAGGAGAGCTAAAGTAAGAGGAAGGCAGCTCGTGAGAGCTAAGAGGAAGGGGGGAGTGCAGCAGGGAGAAGGAAAGAAAGCAGCGCTGTCCACGCCCGCAGGTCCTATGCCCATAATTCTTTCCCCTCCCACTTCCACAAAGCATCGCTGCTCAGTTACAACCTGAAGCCAAAGCGTGAGCTGTGAGTCCCCCTCCATTGTGGTTGTGCAGAAGGGGGTGCACTGAGACACCACTACTGTCCTAGAGGTAGAGGATCCAAAGCTGGGGTGACCAGGTTATGTTGCAAGGGGGCAGTGGTGAGGCAAGGGTGGAGGGGAAACAGGCTAGGGCCACTTTCTGGAGGATGCCCTTCTCTGCACTTTCAGGTGGAGGTCTTAGGTGAAATTATGGTCTTCCATGGGAAGAGCTATATTTTCATAGTAGAATAAATATTAGTTTTTCCTCAAGGTCACAAGATGGCTGCCATTCCTCCAGGCACCACATATGTTCAAGGTAGGAAGAAGATAAAAGGGGCATGACAATCTTGCTTAGCACTTTTTTTTTTTTCCAGGAAAGTAAAAGCTTTCTCAGAGACCTCTCAGAAAACCTCCAGTGTTCCAAACAGTGTCAGAGGACACTTTAGCTATAAGGAGGTAGGCAAAGCAAATGTTTAGCTCTTTCAGGCTAAATAGCGGGAGATAAGCAAGGTAAAAAGGAGTTGCTGGCAACGAGGTTCACCAATCAATGTTGGCCACAGGGCCTAAGAGGGGAATTCCTTTTCTCCTCCATTTCCTCTTCCTCCCAGGGAATAGCTGTTGCTTTTCAGAGCCTGAGTTTGCTGTAGTTCAGAAAAAAGCCTCTGCTGTCACTGGTTTCCTTCAATCCTCGTGATTTTGTTCTATTAGACTTCCTTTGAGAAGTGGGAAACCCACTTTTGGGTCTCCTCTTGTATCCTGGGAGCTAATTCTCAATAAAATTTTCCTGCTCATAACCAACATTGTTCCTTAGAATTCATTCTTTGATTTTTGGGGAACACAAACTCAGTGTATCTGACATCCACCAGGTTGGGAGTGACATTTATTCCCCCTATATCAGCAAGAGGATTGCAAATTTGAGCCCAGCCTGGCCAACTTAGTGAAACTTGTCTCAAAATAAAAAACATTTCTACCTAACTTAGCTGTGTATAAGTTTGCCTCAGCCGCCCAGAGTGCAATTCTTTTCCAAAATACAACAATTATTTTGAGTTAGGATTTTGCTAAGTCACTAAGTTGCCCACAGTGGGCTTCAGCTTGGGACCCTCCTGCCTCAGCTTCTCAGAGTGCTGGAATCACAGGCATGTGACACCATGCCCAGTTTCAACCCAGTTCTTACAACGTTATGATTCAGCAAAAAATGCCTCCAGTTCCTGACACAGACACAAGACCCATCCTTGGATTCTAATGCTGCTACTGATTTTTCCATATTTGTTTATTCTGTTGAATATTTTAATAAGAATTTCTGAACAGGAAGAAGTGTAAAGGGCCCATGCCAGCTTTGTGCCAGAATTGCTCTCTTCTCACAAAGCAACACATGGTAACCTCCATCCGCCAAGGCAGAAGTGCTGGGTGAACTCCCTCATGAAGGAGGAGTTCATGGTCCATGGGAGACTGCAACTGACATGGGAATAGAGGCCTGGGTGTGGGGAGAAAAGGGAAACTAGGGGGAAATAACAAAGTACCTCGCCAGGCCTGGGGCCACATGTCTGTAATCCCAGCCTCTTGAGAAGATGAGGAAGAAGAATCACAAGTTTGAGCTCAGCCTGGGCAACTTAACAAGACTCTGTCTCAAATTAAAAAATAAAAAGAGCTGGGAGTACACCTCAGCAGTAGAGTGCTACTGGGTTCTACCCCCAGTATTTCAAAAGAAAAACAAAAACTATTTGCATGCCTAGCCCACCAGATTGATATCAGCTCCGTCTGGACTCCATTTTCTTACATCAATGGGAATGTGCCTTAAGACTGCTGGCTCCTGTCTGTGTGTCCCTGAAAGGAGGTCACCGTTAGCTGGGAACCTGTCCAGGCAAAGGCAGCACTTAAAGCCAGGAAAGGACAGGTCTATCACTTTTGAAGTTCTGCTCATTCAAGTACTTGCCCAGCCTCAGTTTAAAGGTGTAGGGGGAACGGGAAAGTGCTATAGGAAGAAAAGCGCCCAGCGCCAAGTTCATTACCGTGGGTGGAAGTGGCTCAGTGTGGCCCTAGGGCACAGCAAGGACAATTCCACAGCAATTTCCTTTGACCCTATGGATGCCTTCTCCTTCCTTCTAACCCCCTTTCTTCCTCTGCCATGTGAATATTTCGGCTTCTCTCTTCCTCCCTTATTTGATTTTATCTTAATCCCCATAATATGAAAAACATTTTTATTTCTCCTTGTTGTAAAAAGAGGAGGAACATTTTATTATTTCTTTCAATAAAAAGAGAGGAAAAACATTTTAAATCATAAATTTCCAGATTTTCTTTTGTGAATCTGCAATCTCATATTGGAAAGAAAGAAAAGTTCCTCCCTCCCAGATGAGCCAAAGAAGTAACATTATGGAGATGCAGGAGGATTCCGAAGGAGTGAAGCTGAGTAGAGGGTGGCTGGAAAGACATTTCTGTGAGGCATCCTGCAGGGAACAGACAGCAGGTAGAGAGGAAGAAAGGGGGGCCCTATCTTCCTATTGACTCTCCACTGCATGGCATGGAAAGGCAGCAGTAGAAAACAAAACCAGAAACGTTATCAGCCCCTGTGAAAACTCTAGAATGACTAAGAAGTCCGGCCATGCAAAATCCTCCCCAGAGTGTACCTGGGGAATGAAGATAAAGCAGTTGACTGTGGTTGTACAAACAAAGATGCCTCCAGATGTGAGTCCAAAGACCAGGTTGGGCCAGGTGTGCAAGTATCTGGTGACCACAAAAAGCAGCCCAGCAGCCAGGACCAGCAGGTTGACCCCAACCGTGATGGTTAGGGACTGATTCACAGGAGGAGCGCTGACATGGTCTGTCAGGCCAGCCAGGTAGGCACCACACAGCAGGAGCAGCCCCTGGAGTGGAGAGGGACCAAGGGCAGAAGTGGAAGAACAGTTCAGAGGGCAGCAGGGTGGAACAATGGCCCTGTCTGTAAACCAGGGCCACCCCTCATACAAGGGGTGATTGAAATATACAGTGAATGTTTACATTAAAAAAATCTTATTACACTAAAAAGACACATTGCTAAGGATGATGGGATAAGTATGTCCAAAGTGAAAAGAAGTATTTTGAGAAGATTAATGTCTTTCATTGTCATACATTTTTTTTTCTTGGGTACTGGGGATCGAACTCAGGACTTGCACTGTGAGGCAGGTGGCGGAACCACTGAGCTAAATCCCCGGCCCCTGTCAAAGATATTTTAATTTAAACATTCACCAAATTTTTGATCACACCTAGTTGATCAAACATTTACAGCAATTTATGTCAAATGAAAACATAATGGTGTATCCTTATTCACCTTAGTCACTGAATCTGGCACAGTGCAACTTCTGGTTCTTCCCCAAAGTCAAAATGAACCGTGAAAGATGAATGTTTTGAATCGCTTCAGGACATCCAGGCAGGTATGACAACATAATTAAAGACACTTATGAAAGAGGACTCCCAGAACTGCTTCAGAAAGTGGCAAGAGTGATGGAATAAGTGTGTTTGAAGTTTGGGGAATATTTTGAGGAAGATTTATGGCCATATGTCTTTTACTGTAAGAAATTTAAAAAAAATTTTTAACATTCACCATATTTTTCAATCATGTCTCATACATGGTAGGGCCTTAATAAATAAAACTTTACTCTCCTTCACTAAGAATAGCTCACTAGAGGTCAGCAAGTCAGCCCTCTGGCAGGACTCTTCTGGGACAAAGAACAGGCTCCCACCAGGGGATGATGCTCTACCCCAGGGGTGATGGGAACCAGGAGGGCTGGGGTACCTCCTGCTGTGGGTGGGGAGAATTACCACGTCCACTGTGTGGTTTTGTGCTGTGCAGAGCTGAGGGGCACAGGAAGCTAACAGTGACCTGCAGTCTGCTTCTCATAGAAGGCAGTGCCGGGTGGGCTGGGAGAGGTTCTAATCTGCCCAAAGGCACCTTGCCAAGACTGAGCCTACCTGGGACAGAGGCCATCCTGCTGCACAGAGAAGCTTTGTGGGCTGGCTGCGGCTCTCTGTGGATGGACTTAGGGGAGATGGAGGGTGGGAAAGAGGGGGACAAGGCAGGCTGGGACCCAGGAAGAGCGAGGGGCAGGCCAGGCCCCAGTCGCTCCATCTAGGTGTTCCCTGCTTTGTGACAGTATCTGCACCACCACAAGACTGATGCTCTCCTCTTTCCATGGACATAAATTGCTCTACTGCTCTTGCCTGTACTAAGGAGAGAAAAACATACCTTCGGGCACTTTTGCCAGAGGGAGCTGCATATACACTGAAATCAAAGCTTTAATTAATGATACGTAGGTTCAACATGCACTGGTCCAACTATGTGCAAAGCGCTATACTACGTATTGCTCAGGACCTAGTACTACAAAGGGTAAGTCACAGTCCTGAGTTTGCAGTGCCCAGTCTGATGTGGAGGCTTTGGGAAGCCCACACACACTCATGTCTACAATACAGATGTGAAGATGGCGGGAGGCTGAGGTGGGGCTGGGAGTGATGCAGTCAGGAGAGTAATGATAGGATGGCCAGGCATCAGGAAGATGCTTCCAGGGCCCTGAATCCACAGGGCCTGGCTGGCTCCACCTGTCAGGATGGCCCTAGAGAAAATTTCTGGAGCACTGGTGTGCCATGAGGGAAGGAGTCAGCATGGCAGAACTGCCTCCAAGGTACTCCTAATGCCCAGTGTCCCACATGGGGCCAAAGGGCAGAACTCGGCCATCCTGAGATTGCCAATGACCAAAGAACACAGAAGCCAGGAGGTTGGGGGCCTGACATTTGAGTAACTGATACTATCAGGAGGCATTTGGAAGAGCTGGATCATTTGTACTTGTGTCAAAGGTGAATGAAATTAATACTGTGAATCTGAAATGTTTCAATATGCTTCTAATAAAATGTTTTAATTCCATTAAACTCTTGCTAGAAGGGAAAGCAGTGTGACTAAAGCTCCCACACATCGATGGCTCTGGTTTGAGTGTGTCACACACAATCCCTGTATATTATTTGCCTTCACTGCTAAGGGTAGGGGAGGTGACAGGCTTGGATAGGGGTTCCAGAACTCTGTGTGAGACTGGCACCCTTCTCAGAAGCCCCTTGCTGCCCATGCAGGGACGAGTACTCTTTCCCCCTTTGTTCCTTCATCCTACTGAGCAATAGTACAGTGACACAAAGTGGAAATGGGAGCACACAAAAGACAACCAAGGTGGGTTACACAGAGTGCTGCTATGGTGCAGGTGCTGGGAAGGACAAGCAGCTCCAGGGGCCGGAGGGCCTGGGAGAGGCACTGGGCTTCTCAAATTTGTCCAGAGGCAATGGAAGAACAACTGAAACACAAATCTAACTATGTATCTACTTACTGGGCTCCTGCTATGGGCCGGGAGAGGCTGAAAGCTCTTAACGTGCTTTGACTCTTTCGTAACTCAGCACAGCTCTGAGCAGAAGTCACCATCATTTCTATTTCACAAATGAGGGAACTGAGGCTCCAAGAGGTTAGATGAGGCCCGTGGTCAGTGAGGAAGGGGCTGGGTCAGAATTCAAACCCTGTTCCATTACACTCTGAGGCTTACTTTCCTAACCCCTAGCAAGATACAAGAGATCAAGATCTGATCATTTCCTGGACCTTTCTTCAAAAAGTCTTTCTATCAAAGGAATATATGCTCATAGTGAAAAAGTACTATATCTCTGACCCAGCCTGCCCATCCCCAGGACTGTTCCTCAGAAGCAACCACCTCCAACATTTTCCTAGTGGTGAAGTAAGTGAAGGTAAACTTTAAAGGTCACTGTTGCTACAAAACCTTCTCTAAAAATCAGTTACCCAGGGCTCTCCATCCCAGTGGTCAGCAGCAGCCTCATCCAACAGGCCTGGCCTGCACCCTCTGACCCAGTTCTCTGTCCTTCTAAGCTGGAAACCTGCTGAGAGGGGGTCTGTTCTGAGGACACCCCCTTGGTGTACTGCCATCCGGAAACAGGACCCTATGTTTGTTCCTCTAATGGAGACAAATGAGCCTGAGGACAGGAGATCCGCAGCACTATGGAAGATACTTTGAGGGACCTGGACATGCTCCAAAGACACTGTGCATGTTGCTGTCTGCCTTAGGGCCAGACCTTGTCCCAACCAGACAGAGAAAGTCAGGTGTGCAAAAGGCAGCAGGAGCTGTGACCCAAATCTTGAAGAAAGTTACAAGAAGCCTGTAAGGGCATTTGGGAGAAGAAATTAAGCCAGGTAGACTATTTCCTCATAATTCCCCATGCAGAGGAGCCTGACAGAAAACAGTATTGCCAAATCAACTTAAAAACTAGACTACAAAACTGGAGAAACAGCAGGTGAATCCAGATTATTTCAAAGATACTATGGTTTGGATTTAACACATCCTCACAAAGGCTCATGTGTTCAGAGGAGGGGATTTTGGAAGGTGATTGGATCATGAGTAACTGCTGATGGATTCATAATTTGATGGCATTATTGGAGATATTTGATACTTAGTAGGTGGGGGCCTAACTGGATAAAGCAGGTCATTGGGGACAGGGCTGTGAAGGCTATCTTGTTTCTGGCCCCCTCTTTGGTGCTTCCCTACTTCCTAGCTGCCATAAGGTGAGCAGTTCTCCTTTACCACACCCTTTTGCCATTATGTTTCTGCCTTGCCACAGACCCAGCAACTATAGAGCCAATTGACCATGAACTGAAACCTCCAAAACTGTGAGCCAAAATAAAACTTTTTTCCTTTAAGTTGTTATTCTTAGGTATTTTGTCACAGTGGCAGAAAGTGGGCTAGCATAGGAGAAGATTGAATGAAGAAGTCCAAAGAGTTGGAAAAGTGACCCCACAAACATAAAAAGTAGAGAAATAAAAAGGGTCATGGCTTTGAGATGTTTATAAGCTCTCCTTTGAGTCTGAGATTCTCTGGAGACATTATTAATATATCTTGCTACATTTCTATAATTTTCTCTTCATATTCATTTTGTTTGTGACAAATAAATGGGACCCAAGGAGATATGGTTACCAACCTTGCATCCCCAAATGAGAGCAATCCAGACATCAGAGTACCGTGAAGCACAGAAGCGTGTATTGGTCAAAGAGCAGGATACATCTCTCCCTGTCACCTAGGAGGGACACAGAGTCATAACTGAGGGCACCTACAGTTTTCAGATCACAATAGATCTTCGCACACATCCTGAACTATGTACTTCTTTACTGCATATAATTTCCCCTTCATTATATAAAATGAAAAAATGTAAGTGAGGTGACTCCATTAGAATCTAAATGAGTGGCTCTGAGTTGCAGGAAAAGATAGTAAAGTTGGGTAAACATGTAGATGCTGGGTGGCAGGACTCCTTCTCAGTCATGTGCTTTGCTACCACAATGATTTCAATTAGTACCTCAGCAAAGTTACAGATTATTTCATATTATAGAGATTTATTGGCAAACAGAATCCTTAGTACATTAGATTCTACAATGTCATGATTCTACTATATTCTTCAGTTCCCTGTGAGGCTGGAGACATTCAATACTTCCTGTTAATTGAATACCATGTGGCAAGCATATTAAGGCTTTTACCTGAATTGTTTCTCTTAATCTTCACCACAGCCCTACAAAATAGGCAGTATTGTTATCTGTACCTTATCTGGAAAAGAGACTTTGAGAGGTTAAATAACTGTTTCAAGGTTATGGGGTTGGTGAGCATGGTAGAAGTGGGATTTAAACCAGGGATAAAGAACTCTACCCTAAAATACTACCTCGGCCTCTCAACAATTAGGGGAAGGCAACTTTCCGTAGCTAAAAGTTCTCATTATTGGTGATGTGGAGGCAGAGATAACTGCCAGGCCAGCTCCACAGTGCTGCCCTCTCAGGGGCTTCTCAAAGACTGGTGAAGGAGGAGTGGGGGAGTAGCAGCCATGGCTCCTAACTCTTCTTCCTCTCTTTGTATAGGGACAGCCACTCAGTGGACAGTGCTGTGAAAAGGACCCTGGGTAGCACAGAGGCCACCCCAGGTCAGGAACTAGATTCCCCAGGGATTGAGGCACTCACCATCATGCTGACACCAAGGATCTGGAGGCACTGGACAGGATCGGTCAGCACCCATGTCACAAGCAGGACCACATCAGCCATCACCAGGGCTGCCACCAACCCCAGCAACTGCAGGTCTTTGATAATCTGCAAAAGAATCAAGGTCAAAATGACCCTTTGCTTGCTGGCTACATGACAAAGGGGCCAGAGTATTTTACATGGCTATGGGCTTCAGGGACAGCCCTTCTAAGGAGCTTCACACATAGCCATCAAAAATGAAACAGACACCATTTACAGTGACTGCTGTGTTGTTTTCATCAATGTTATTACTAAACATTTTCATTTGTTTAACTTTCTTACATTCTATCTTTTCTGACAAAGGCCTCAAAGGGTCCTATAAAATAAATACACTATTATTTCTAGATATATTTATATGAACACATAGAGAAATGTGGAGGTTTTAACATCAAAGTGGTAACAACTCAACCCAGAGGTTGGGGCTGAGAGATAGGTGTGGGAACAGGAGAACTATAACATACTCATATGTACTTTTTAACACACATGTATACTATCTGACTTGATATGAAGAGAATATGTTACTTTTGTGATCATAATAATAAAACTAAGAAAAATATACACTGTGACGGGATAAAACACTGAAAAATACCAGGGAAGGGAGAAAATAAGTATGAAGAAGTCTCAGGTGAGGAATTGGGGCAAAAATGTGCATTTGAGCTCTTGTCAACAAATGGACAAAAAGAAGCCCAACTAGTTACACAATCCCAGGTGTTTGTAAGATAAAAATAAATCAGTTGCTTAATAAAACTGCTCAAAACCAATAATAATGAGAAATTCAGAGCAACCAGAGAAAAAAGATACATTATGTGTAAAGAAGATACCAGCCTTTTCATCAGATATGAGGCCAAGGAGAAGACAGTGGAGCGACAGCTTCAAAGCACTGAAGAAAAGGCAGAGGCAGAGGATGTAGCTCAGTGATAGAGCACTTGTCTGGTATGCATGAAGCCCTGGGTTCAATTCCCAGAAAAAAAGATAAAAGAAAAAAAGAAGAGAATAAAAAGAAAAGAGAATCTTTCAGAATCAAGGCAAAATGAAGACCTTTTCATATATACAAAATCTGTAAGAATGCAGCACTAGCATACCCACATGAGAATGTTAGCTATCCTTCAGGTAAAAGGAAAATGATACCAGATGAAAATGTAGATCTATACATAAAATGAAGAACACTGGAAATGGTAACTACAAGGAAAATGTGTGATTGATTTTATTATTTAAATATCTTTAAAAGATAACTAATTAAATAAAAATAATGATGAGTATGTGGCTTATATTACTCAAAACTCAATAATAAAAAACCAAAACACATCCAATTAGAAAAAAATAGGTGAAAGATCTGAACAGACACTTCACAAAAGAAGATAAATGAATGGAAAGTAAGTGTGTGAAGAGATGTTCAACACTGCATTAGGAAAATATAAATTAAAACCACAATAGGAGACTACCACACTCCTACTAGAATGGCTAAAATGAAAAGTCTGACTAAATCAAATGTTGGCAAGGATGATTAGAGGAAATGGACTTACAAGTACTGTTGGTAGAAATGTATACTAACACGATCACTTTGGTAAACAGTTGGCACTTTCTTAAAGACTTAAATATGTACTTATCATATGAGCCAACCACTTTACTCTTAGATTTATATCAAAAAGAAATGAAAGCATATCTCTATATAAAGATGTATACATGGAAGTCCATAGCATGTTAATTTTTTTAATAGTCCCAAACTGGTAACAACCCAAACATTCAGCAACAGGTAATCTACACACTGGAATACTACTCACCAATAGTAACAAAGAACTACTAATACACAGAGTAACATGGTTGAATAATTATAGCATTTGTAAAAATAATTATGTGACTAAAATAAGGTAGGCAAAGAAAAAGTACATTCTGTATGATTCCATGTACATAAAACTCTGGGAAATACAAACCAATCCATAATGACAGCAAGCAAATTAATGATGCCCCGAGGACAGGGACGGGCAATGTAAGGATTGGACAGCAGAGGGGCCTGAGGAAAGTGCTGGGGTGATGGATGTGTTCATTATACACCATGTTTCATGGGTTTACACATGTGTCTAACTTATCAAATCATAGACTTTCAGTACATGTAATTCATTGCATGTCAATTATGCCTCAAATAGATATTTTTGAAAAAGGAATCAGTCTTCCAGAGGTATGGATAAACTTTTAATAATCTTCATCTGTGCAGTTATTTACAGCTGAGCTTTTGATAAATATTCACCATGGTTCACTAATGCTTACTAAAAGATCCCATCATTCCAGAGAAGTAGGCTTCAGCTGAATGATATATTAGGTCTGGGCTGATGGTTAGGTCTTAAGTCTGGGCAATCTTTACCAGGAAACCTGATAAATGGAGGGATGTGGTTACAGTGATGCCTGACATCAGGGACCTGTGGGTGATCTGGCTGCCACTTGGCTTCTGGTGTTGATTCCTTCTGCTTTAGCCACATCTCAATGCAGAGAACTGCTCTTTACATAAAGGAGAACTGGGCTCCAGACCAGCATGGGTATGGGTGGGGGATACTCTGCTTATTTGCTTCAGCTTTACTCTCTACAGCCTTTTTTCCTTCCACATCACACCTATGCCAAGCAAGCAACACTCTTCCTGGATATCTTGTTCTCCCTCACATTGGTGCCAGGTTTTGGCTAGCTCACGGGTGCCCACAGGGCCTGGGATGGGTGCACAAGGAAGCAGAGCACATGTCCAAAACAGCTCCCAAAAAGGCCTCAGTCTTCGAGGCCTGGAGCTTTAAAGGCCATGTGACTTTTGAGGTTTGAAGCAAGGAACAGGAATTTCAGGTTATTCTAAAAGGAGTCCTGGTGATCTGTATCAGCCTCTCTAGCTTTTAAATTTCTGTGGAGCTGCTGTATGCAATGTAGCACTGTGTACTTGCTGCCTACTCACCACTCTCTTGTTCGGGACCCTCTGGGTAAACACCTTGTAGAGTCGCCAACTCTTCCCCAGAATGGGGCCAAACACAAGGGAGGTCCCAATGCACAGCATGGACAGTCTTATCTACAGGTAGAAGGGGACAAAAGCAAGAGTCATGAGAGGAATCTTCATCACTTCTCCACGCATTCTGATCTGCAAACCCTCAGGTCCGCAGAGGGCAGGAAGTGGGCCTCGCTGACTGTGTGCCAGGGATTGCCTCTGAAAGCGTGCACACCAAAGACACAGGAAACCACCACTCATAGGAGTAGTTATATTCAAAACATCACCTACCTGGATGAGAGTTTCCATTGAGCTCCCCACTAAATCCTCTTGAATTCCAAAGAGGTAAGCGCTACTGTAAGTCAGACAACTTCCCAACAAGGTCACAATGTTCAGATTGGGACTGGACATCTTCACAATCCTAGAAGAGATTAGGAAGAAAGACACTTAGAGCCATGACCCTTTGTAATGGGGTCAAAGATCTGCAAGATCATGTTTCCTCCCTACTACTGTTTCTGATGCAGCCAAAGAGTGAAGGTTCCCTCTGGGAAGAAACCACTTTACGTCCCTGTGAAAATGTATGGCTTCTTTCATTTATTTTCAAAGAGAACTAAATTCTGGGACTTCCTGTTTGAATAACTCCAGGTCTTTTAAAAGAAGCTGACTACCTACATACAGGTGGTATCAGAGGAGTTAGAATGCTGGCCATGAAGCTTGGGGTTGCTAAGAGACACTATATGCAGCTTAGTGAAAAAAAATAATGATCAGGGCCATACTCAAAGAGATAGTTTGGAGCTTTTAGAAATGAGCTGTAAGGCCAACTACTATTTGGAAAGAGGTCTGGGATTTCTTTTTTCATACACTGTTCACTTTATTTTATGTGTAAATTGTTTTCCTCTCTGTATTTGACCAAGAAAGAGGAAGCAGGGATCAAAAGCAAGAAATTAGGGCAGGTTTTTCTTTTTTGTGTCTGAAGAAGTAGTTTTAAATGAGATTAGAGAACATATGAAAGGTCAGAGGGAGATGTGGATAACAGGTGTGTGATCTAGATTAGGGATCTCAAGAAAGCCCTGGTCACCAGCAGAGGTTCAGGATGTGAATTGGTTCATTTAAGCGGAAAATCTGGCTTACAACAGATATAGTGATGGATAACAAATAAATATAACAAGCAACAAGGAGGAATGTAATTGTATTTAAGAATTTTAGCTTTTTTTTTTTTTTTTTTTGAGACAGGGTCTCACTATGTAGACCAGGCTGGCCTCAAACTCACAGCAATCCTCTTGCCTCAGCATCATGAGTGTTTGGATTATAGGCATACACCACTACACCCTGCAGAGAATTTTAATTTAAATAGTGTATTCTACATAAATGCAAATATGAATAGTCATTTGATAATTATTAGTTATACTTTCATTTTTAAATAGTAACTGAAAAGGAAAGTATTCTTTTCTGTGTTTCTTAATTATCTGGCCAAGCACCATAAAGGTGAACGCCAAAGCAAAATCATTTTTTTAGTGCAGCTATATTAAGGACAGATAAAGTATCTAAGAGGCATTAAACAGTCTGGAAGTGCTACATTTGAAATGTCAAAACCCCCACAGGCGTAACATGACGACTTAGTGGTTAGCCTCATAATGTATGCACACAAACGCCACCACCCTGAGATGCAGGCCCAGAGTTGTGTTGAGATTAACCTTGTCCGGCAGTAAAAGCATTAATGTTTTTTTCTGCCCTAAAAGTGAGAACAGCATTCATGTACACCCTTTGTAAAATGGAGAGAATAATTTCTAAGAGTTGTTGGAGAATGTAATGAGGTGTTATGGTTTAGAGCTAAAATGTCCCCTAAAATCTCATGTGTTGGGAGGTGAGGTCTGGTTGGAAGAGGTGGGTCATGGGTGTGTGTGACCTGGAAAGACATGTTCTTTATTAGTACATGTTTGTGATACATAATGAATTCATTCATCATGCAGAGTTGGTACATGAGCATATTGCATTTTAGTCCTTTTTACTTCTTCTTCTCCTCCCCTCCCTCTTCTTTCCATGTCAAATCCCCTTTCCATTTTAGAAAGCCGTGTTCTTGTCCTTGGCTGCTCCTTTGACTCTCTGCTTCCTGGATGTCATGAGATGAGCAGCTTTCCTCCACCAAGCCCATCTGCCATGATGTTTTTGCCTTGGAGATAGCCAACCATGGACGGAAACTGTGAGTCAAAACTTCTCCTCCTTTAAGTTGTGGGTGTTGGGTATGGTGTCACAGTGGCAGGAAAGTGACTAATACATAAGGCAATATGGCAAAGTGCTTGGGCACAGGGCTGGCACACCGTAGGCATGTCACCAACGTCAGGGGATAATATGAGAATTTCACCATCTTCCAGGTTTTAAGAAACCCAAGAATTATCTTTTCCTTCTGTTTCTTTACCACCTATACTCAGCAACCAAGGTCTTTCCCTTCCCCTTCTTATTTCAAAGACTTTCTCTGAGTTTTTCCTCTCTTTCCATTCCTGCTACCATGTTTATCCAGGACACAATCATGTTAGTAACAATGGGACTGGAGTCAGGTGTCATAGGTTTGAATTCTCGCTTTGCCACTCACAGCTGTGTGACTTTGAGCCCACTATTTGACTGTTCTAGGACTCTGTCTCCTCATCCATAGAATGAAGACACCATCTTCTTATTTACACCATCATGGGTTATTGCAAAAGTCAAGTGAAGTATGCATCAAAACTCTTGGCAAACTATAAGATGATGCAAAAATGCTACATTTTAGATTTTTTGGTGTTACCGTCAGCTCTGGGTAACACTGATTTGTTTCTGCTCTCATGCATCTTGAACATTGCTTTTAGACTTAATTTCTTAAAATACCACTGTTATCACTTATCCAGTGACATATGTAAAGGAACATTCTTCCACCATTTAGTTTAAGTCTTCTGTATCTGACTTTAAGATTTGACCCTACCCTATATAGCCACTTATTCATTCAGATCTATCTGTCTGGTGTCCAAGTCTTTAAATTGTGGACTTTTGGAGGGTGATTTTTCCTTAGTTTCTTTATTTCTCCATGTAAGAAAGGCGTATATATGGTAAATATTAACTACATAAATAAGAATGATGCTCACTAGCAGCTTCATAATGCATTTTTAAAGAAAAATGAAGGGCGATTAAAAGAAAAAGAACTGAAGGGGAAAATGATAAAAATAGAGCTTTTACAAATGGGAAGGGGACCAAGAGTTGGAAGGAGCAGGAAGGAAGAGGAGAGGTAGGGGATGATAAGGGAAAAAAAAAGAAGTTGTATTATGTACCGACTCCCCAGGATAAATTTAATCATTATGTACTGCAAATTTGTACTAATAAAATTTGAAAAAGAAAAGTGCTACATTAGAGGAGCCAGTGCTGACACTGATTTAGGTTAGAGCCCTGCTGACCTGAGGTGGCCTCTTGGCGCAGTCCAAAGCCTGGGGAGTGGCATCACCAGTGGGTGGGTTCCTGTGAGACCACTCTTCCCACAGCCACTCCTGAGCTTCTGCACACAGCCATGGTTATGGGATGGAGGCTCTCTCACCAAGCACCTTCCTGGCTCTCACAACCTTACATCTGTTTTGTCTAGATCATGGAATGGTGGTTTCTCTCTTCTCTGCATTTTAAAAAATTTGAATATCACAATCTTCAGTGATGAAGCATTGCTTGAAATCCTGAATTCTTCCCCTTTATGATTTAGCTGGGGAACTCAATTCAGTTAGTTTTGATGAAAGAGATACCAGTCTTCACATCTCAGGCATTCGTGCAAATGTACTGTTCAAATAGACATGCTTTGGAATTATATATGTATGTGTTTTGACAGTTTTTTTCCTGAGAATTTCATTGAAGGCTTTCCTTGGAAAAGAAACTATGACTAGATGATTTCCCTTCTTTGTTTGGACACCTGAAAAACACCTGAAAAGCCTCTAAGTGAATTACCTCCAATTCATCAGGTAAATTATTTAGCTTTGGGGAATGTACTTGCTACTTTGGTAGGAATTCAACCACCAATGTCATTTATATTTTTTCCATTGAACTAAGATCTGAAGCCTACATAACTGAATATTTTAATTTAGCCACATACATAATTTCCACAAAACCAGAAGATTTAAATATTATATACTTAATTATAGGTAGCCAATGCCATCTACATTACTTGAACTTATGAAAAGTTAAAAACCTGGATTGGCAGTCTCAAATAAGGTGAGTTTAAAAAATATTACAGAACTATCTCATTATCTCTTCTTTTTCACTTATATATTGGAAATGTAATACAAAATGTTTCTTGATGCAAGTTCTCAATATATAGGTAAATGTCTGTCTATAGAACTTGTATATTCCTGAATTATCATTTCAACAGTCTTTAATAAATTTTGATGCTTACCTGGCATTCACCAGTACACAGATATGATTTTTCCATTTAGTTTATTGGTACATTTTAGGTATACAATACAGTTACATTCATCATTGGGATCTTGTAACAGATACAATGTTTTAAAGACTTTTATCAAATACTGATTCCTGACCTTGGAGATCTATCACATTTGGAGTACTGAGTTTGGAAACATGATCCAAGATTGGTGCAGAGCATGTTTCCTGGTGTGCCATGACTGTTAGAAAACTTTCCTAAAGATGTCATATGACATGTTTTCTAATATGGTACATGAGTTGACATAAAAGGGATCATTGAGCATTAGTGTATCTGAAATCAAACATGAATCTTTCTAAAAAGCTTTTTAGTGAGCTTTAAATGGTAAGGATTGGATGAATTTCTTTTTTAGCCCACTATTTTTTTTTTTTTGGTATCGGAGATCGAACTCGGGTCCTTGTGCTTTCAAGGCAGGCGTTCGAACCACTGAGCTAAATCCCTGGCCCTAGCCCACTGTTTTTGATCTATGCAACAATTGGATTATAAATCTATCTCATGTAAAACTCCATACATCTTTATTATAATGTTAGCTGATTGTTCCTGAAAATCTGATTATTTTTCTATTTGCCTTTTTCTGCTGTCTGAGTCACTCTTAACCCAATTCAAATTCAGCACACCTCAAACTAATATTACTGGGGCCTCTAACATTTATATTTAAACTCTGTATCATAGGTCCTGGCCCAGCTCCTTCTTATCCTCCCTGGGCCACCATCTCAGGAGACCATGCCAGCAGATTTCACTTACCTTGCAACCTTCAGAGTTCTAAATTTTTAAATCATAATGACTTCACTTTATTCCCCTTCAAATGTCCACCCCATGGTCATACTCTGGGTCTTATGATCATTTGAAATGGTTCTCCTTGAGGGATTTTAAACATCAATATGCTGTTCTTTGACTACAATCCATCCAAAACTCAACTCCTTGTCTTCTCTCCCAATTTGTTCCTCCCACATTCTTCCTCAGTTCTGATAACAGGAACT